TTTGTCATTTGGAATAAAAGATTTAGTATTAGGAGTTCATGGTGTTTAAACCCTATATTATCTATTCCTTTGTAAGTTTTTATTAGCTTTTTGCTAACTTTCTAATAAAAAATCAGTTGTTCGAAAAAAATCAGTTAATTACTTTTATTATTAGTATTAAAACCATTTTATTAGTAACGTGTCTAGATTTTTGGTCTAGTTGGTATAACCAATTTAATATCGGGTGATGTGTGTTATTCTTTTACTTACAAAAAAGGTATGTTTTTATATACAAAAAAAAACATATTTATACATAAAAACATTTTTAATAAAAAATATCAAAAAGTCAAAAACACGGTAAAAGTTATATTTTGCCTCAATTCCTTGATTTTTTTATTAATCATTATCAACAATTCAACATGCATTAAGTAAGTACTTTTTAATAATTTGTTATGTATTATTTTAAGTACGAATGAATCGAAGTTGATTTGGTGTGTCTTTCTTTAATATTAATGACTGAATTAATTAAATATGAATTAGTTAAACTTATATCATTAATACTTAATTTAAAGGTTAAATATTATATAGTACATATTAAACTTAGCGAAAAGAAAAAGTATAGGTCCAAATTGCCAAACATAACCAAACTTGTTTGGCCCGCTCGGGCAAACGGAAAACCTGTGGTTTGAGAATTGAGATTATTACATATAAAGTTTAAAGGCTTGGCTGAGAGTTTTTATATCAAACCAATCAAACCAAACCACAATCACCTCTAATACAGTGAAATAAAATATCTTTTAGAATTTCTTTTTCTGTGTTGATTTTCATTCAATTAACTAAGATGACAAAAAATACTATATCTGAGAGGACCCGATACCTGAACCCAATTTTATTGAGGAATTCCCGAGTTAACCGGGCACGAAGACAAGAATTGAAACTCCCCGAAATAAAAACCGGGGACGGAGACAGGAATGAGGATATCCTTTGTCCCTGTATATAATAGATAAACATAATATATATTATATTGTGATATTAAGTATTTTTTTTTTTTTTTTTTTTTTTTTTTTTTTAACGGCAAACTAACTAATCTGCTCCTAAATACCCACCTATGTCTCCACCGAGACTTGAACCCCTGACCTCTCATATGAGATGATCACTCCATACCGCTAGACCATTAATCCTCTCATATGATATTAAGGTTATTAAATCATTCTTTATGTACATAAGATTGTAAATACTTATTCTAATTCTGAAATCTTTCCTACATTGAAAGTACATGATAACAAGGAATAAAAGCACAATAACTATCGTAATTACTGTTTTGCATATGGGGTAAAACTTCTACATTATTTTACTTGATTGGTACATGAAACATATATTTGTGTGGTATTTGTTTCGACTTAAACTTATATTTATTAAATTTGTATATAATATTGTTTCATAATTTTAATACATTAACCATCTTTTATTATGTATGCTAATAATGTGTTTCTTTGTGCAAAGGTTTATACAGGTTTCTACCAAATTTCAGTTAAATGTAGGTTCTTTTATATATACTATAAAAAATATGACAACTATTAAAATAACATGTGGTTTATAAACTTTGGATATTTAATGTGTGTAATGGTAGTGACGTTACTGTAATACGTTCTACATATGTACAAGTAGATTACTACAATTTAAGTATGAGAAGACACGACTAAAGATGCTAAAAATTTAATATCATGGTTGTTATTAGTATTAGGGATAATGACTTAGGAGGATAATAACGTTTTCTGTTTGTCCATTTTAGGTCCCTAACGTATTTTTTTGTGCGTATTACACCATTAAGGTTATTATAACAATTTACAAATAGTCCTTTAACAGGAAGAAACCGGTAAAAGAGATTATTTCTAAACGGTTATAACAACCTTAATGGTGTAATACACACAAAAAATACGTTAGTGACCTAATATGGACAAACGGGAAACGTTATTACCCTCCTAAGTTATTATCCCCGTATGAAACTATAAACCCCTATAGTAAATTTTTACTTTTTAATGATATGACGCTTCTTATGGGTAGTATGCCTACTAGGTGGAACCGTTTTGTCCCTATTAAAATTAACATTTTTTTATGGTGTGTGCTTTTGGATCGTATTCCGGTAAGAGCTAAACTGGTGGAAAGGGGGGTGATGATAGATTCCTTATTGTGTCCTGTGTGTCATAATTCTCAAGAAAGTGTGAAGCATTTGTTGCTGTAGTTTTCGGTTGCTGATCAGGTTTGAAGTCGGGTTGGGCATTGGCTTCATTTGGACCTTCCTGTGTTTTCATCTATCCGTGATGTGGTGGATTGGGTGGATTCTAGACCGACGGTTCATATGGAACGCCCGATTGTTGAGTCGGTGTTCATGGTGTTCATGATGACGTGGTTACAAATTCCAATCCAATCCAATCCAAACATTTCTACTTTTTATTCTTTTTAATTTCAACAACTTTATATGAAATACACATATAAAAATAAATACTAAAAATCTTAGGAGGGTAATAACGTTTCCTGTTTGTCCATTTTAGGTCCCGACGTATTTTTTGTGCGTATTACACCATTAAGGTTATTCTAACCGTTTACAAATAGTCCTTTTAATAGGAAGAAACCAGTAAAGAGATTATTTCTAAACGGTTATAACAACCTTAATGGTGTAATACACACAAAAAATACGTTAGGGACCTAATATGGATAAACGAAAAACGTTATTACCCTCCTAAGTCATATTATCCCTTAGTATTATTTAGTTGATTGTAGTTTGTAATTATGTCTTTGTACTACATAAAAGAATATAACTTCACAACGGAAAAAAAATCTCCAATTTTCTGATTATTTGATGGGGATCCCCATTCCCCACTTGAGACGCAGATGGAGACCCATGGTACTTTCTGGCTTTGTTGTCTATCTCTAGATGTAAACGTTTTTAATACATGATATATTACGAACATTTGTTTTCAATCCTAAGTTAAATTGGATGGGTTGGGCTTCAATGTTTAATTTTTTTTAATAAACAAATTAAAATGTTATAAATGTTTCAATATATTTTAGACTATTTCAAAGTGTTTCATCCTTTTCTTAACTACTTTTTTAATTAAGGAATCGATATCTAAATCTTGTGGATGGCCGGTGGCATTCTGGATGGTGATCTGGCCATGTGATGGTGGTGATTTGGGTGTCATCTTTGACTAAAATGGCGGTGGTTTAGCTGATGGTGATGACTTTGGCCATAAGTGGTCTGTCTCTTGAATGATGCTGCTTTTGACGTGATTGTGCAAGACTTAAGTGAGGCAAACATTAAGCTTAATTTGATGTTTCTTTCATTCTTCTTGAAAATATAATTCTTTTCTTATATAATGGGCAATAAATTTAAAAAGAATCTAAAAGCATT